AAGTTCTGCTGGAATTGTGAAGTGTTCGTTCTCTGTTAGGATTTTGTGGAAGTTTTAACTTCATTTGAAGGAAACCATATGCCTTAAGGCAGGGGTAGGCAACCTTGGCTCTTTTATGACTTGTGGACTTCAACTCCCAGAATTCCTGAGCCAGCCATGCTGAGGAGAAAGGGAGAGGTCTCCAAGCTGAGCCATGGTGGCTCAGGAATTCTGGGAGTTGAAGTCCACGAGTCATAAAAGAGCCAAGGTGGCCTACCCCTGCCTTAAGCCATCAGCAGCAACATGAACAGACTGGAGCAGTGTTTCTCAAACTCAGCTGGCTGGGGAATTTTGGGAGTTGGTCCACACAGCTAAAAGTTGCTGAGGTTGAGAAACATTGGAGTAGAGGACAGATCATATCTTCATGATGCTTAAAATCCAGTTTTGTCTTTGAAGAGGTGGCCCAATACACTGAGGAACTGACTTGAAAGAAAACGTTTTTGAAGGCCTGAAGTGATCTCAATGACTTCTGAAATCTGTTGGCCATCCCCTACTGATCAGATGTACTCCAGAACATGTGGGATTGTGTAAGCTTTAGGTAGTTACAGCAGTTCATTTAGTGACTGTTCAAAGTTATAACAGCACTGAAAAACACAACTTATAACTGTTTATCATACTTACAACTGTTGTAGCATCCCCTTGGTCATGTGATCAAAATTCAGATGCTTGGCAATTGGCAATGCACGGATGAAATGTACAGGTTTTGTACCCCATCACAGTCCACAGATCCTAGGTGGAATACACCAAAATAAAAATTCAGAGGAAAAAAATTGAGCTAATATTTCCTTCTAAGATGTGATTATGAAAACATAGTGGGTAAGAAGATGCTGATATTACAGCACTGCCCAATATCTTCTACTCAACCTACAAAGGAGTATTCAACTGATGAGTAATCTTCTATTAATATGTATATTTATTAAAATGTTCACTGGACCACATCAGGAGAACACCAGCAGCTTAATAGCAAGTACAGTCACCCTTCAGTTTAACTCCTATACTGCTGTTGTTTCTGCAAGCAAAAACAGGCAAGGTTCATACTTCTCACTTTAATCAGCAGGAGCTGAGAATCCTCAGCATTAGTAAAATGGATATTGGTCTAAATCCTTTGGAAGCTGCTGAGAATATTATCCTCCATTCTTGAATGGTGTGTAAATTTGCACAAAAATAGCTAATGCAAATGCTGCTAATTATGGCTTCTCCTCAATTAAAATTTTCTTCAGAGCGTATGCCTACCCTGGATCCCATATCAGAGATGTAGTGGTTGAAGCATCGCAGTTGTTATTGTCAGGCGCAAAGAACCAGATTCTCACTTCAGAGTTCAATTAGCTACTTTATTGCTCATGCTTATTTCACAGGAATCTTCCCAGAATGGCAGTCTGTACCTGGGCCAGACTAGTTTAGGTTCAATGGCATTCAACAGGGGTCAGATCTTGTCCTCTGGTCCCTAGATAAGAAGTCTAAAACAGTGATGGCGAACCTTTTAGAGACTGAGTGCCCAAACTGCAACCCAAAACCCACTTATTTATCGCCGGGTGCCAGGTGGGTCTGGCCCACTGGGTGGGCGTGGCTGTGACAGACTGGGTGGGTGTGGTCAAGGTGGGGGTGGTCCCCTTGATGTTGCTCATAGGGAGGGACGCCTGTGGGGCTGGGCACGGTTGGGGAGATCCAGGGAGTCTCTGGCAGGTGGGGTGGCGGGAAGGAGGCTCATCCTGCGGAGTGAGGCAAGGCAAGGTGAGGCAGGGCGGGGGTGCCATTGTTGCAGGGAAAGGTGAGGCAGGGGCCGGGGCGGTGCTGCCTGACACCATTGCCCACGTACACAAAGGCCAACGAGCACATGGGGGCCAACAGTGTCTGTCAGCAGCCACAGCCTGCTGTCCCCTCAACCGGTGCACTCTGGGGCTCCGCAGCCTGCCGCCAGCAGTTCAGAGAAGCCGCCTCTGAGCTGGACGGCCAGCCGACAGCTAAGGAGGCGATGCAGTGGATCGTGCCCAGGAAAAGGAGAGCATGCGAGGCCAGGAGGGATGGGATGGGGGGAGGGAAACCAGTCATGCTGGGATGTATCTGGTCACGTGGGACCTTGGTGAGTTAGCAAGTGGCTGGTTGAAGAGGGACGGTTGCCATCTCCGGGGCATGGCGTGCGTGCCCACAGAGAGGGCTCTGAGTGCCACCTCTGGCACGCGTGCCATAGGTTCCCCACCACTGGTCTAAACTAATTCCCCTTTTGGCTCCTCCCCCTGGCTCAGCCGATCTTTCTTTGATAGTTGTATTCTAATTTTGTACAATATTGTACATTTAATATTCCTGCTGTGCGCTAAGCTGTGGGCTAATCTGTCTTCCCTTAGCTACATCTTGTTGTCCTGTCTCCCAAGTCATTCTCACATATCACTGTTTCCTGTCAAAAGATGGGCTCTTGTCTGAGTTCTTCTCCAAACACCACTATTGGAACTGACCACAGAGAAAGGAAGACCCCCGTCATTCCTTCTGAATCCTCAGGCCTGGTTAATTTTGTTTGTATCCTGCTTTTATTATTTTTACAAATAAATCAAGGCTGTGAATGCACACTTTCCTCCTCTGTTTTTCCCACAACAAACAATCCTGTGAGATAGGTTGGGCTAG